AAAAAAAAAAAAAAAAAAAAGCGACTTGAACATGCAGTTAAACAGTTAAAAAAGAAAGTAATCACAGAGTTTAAGGGGCACCAAGGCGAGGATGCCTGCCCACCCAGCACCCTGGGCCCCACGTACCGTGACACTGCGGATGACACCTGTCTGTCCCACCACCTGTGTGTCCAGGTAGGTGTCCCGCACCTTCACCTGAATGTCAGTGGTTACCCAGTCGCTGGAGTTCTGCTCGATGCCTGAGCCTGGTGTGTGAGGGTTGTAGCCACCAGGGGAGGGAGCTCCAGGTGTCATAGGACTGTAGCCAACAGGGCTCGGGCTAGGGCTAGCCTGCAGGGAAAAGAGGATTATCGTTGGGAATGGTCACCTGGTCTGGCCGACCCTACAGGGCTGAGGCCACCCCAGCCCACCACCCTCAAGGGCAGGCAGGCAGACCATTACCTGATAGGCCATGGGTGAGGGTGTAGGGTGGTAGCTGGCCGGGGAGTGGGTGTTCTGGTAGCCTGCTGGGCTTGGCGCCACCTGGTGGTAGCTCTGGGGGCTGGGGCTGGGCTGGTAGGAGCCTTGCGGGGAGGGGGCAGCATAGGGAGAGAACTGGTCTGTGTTATACCTGCAGAGACAGGAGAGAAAGGGACATTTGTTGGGGCAGGGAGGGAAAAGGAGGCAGTGGGAGGGTTTGGGCAGTGGTAGATGAGGGCAGGCCCCAGCGGACTCACATGGCCGGCGTCCCTGGCGTCTGTGGGTTGTATTGCGGGTTGACCTGTGGGGATGAGGGGTCGGGGTAGCCAGGTGTTTGGGGATTGGGGGTTCCCCCATAGGCCTGCGGGGACGGGGTGGGCTCGTCATCGAAGGCATACTCATATTCTTCTTCAGCGCTGTTGAGAGAAAGGTCTGTTGAGAGCAACTGTGGTGATAATGTGGTGGATGCTTCCAGAAAAGCACCCTACACCAGACCCCAAACGGAGGCAATTTCATTCTTATGAGAGCCCCATCCAGAGGAGCTCCTGATGTTATTTCCCTTCCACAGCTGAAACTGTGGCACAGAGATGAGGGTGCCCACCCAAGGGCACCCCACCCAGGATCTTTCTCCAAGCCCAGGGGTACCCACAATCACTACTGAGGCTGGGGCTGAAGAGGAGGCCGCTTTGC